CATGAGAAGGATGTATGTTCTTACTTGGATTGAGAATGGTGATATATGATTGCAAGTTGCACCTCTCTTTTGTCTACTATCTATCCATCATCCCTCCATCTATTCATCTGTCCATCCTTCCCCTAATAATCAACCCCTCTACTATTTTCTAGTTCCCTATGTTATCATTTTCTAAATTTGAATACATAATTTGAAGAAATTGAGATCTTTGTGTTTGCCACATAGAAGATTTTAGATCCTTGAGTCTAACTTTTGTAAAAGTCTTTGATTCCTTCTTCAAATCTTTGTTTTGAAAACAAAACGAGAAGTGTGTCTTCCTTCTTTTCCTTTACAGGCACTTTACTGCACAAATATTTATTGAGCTTCCAACAATATGACAAACATGATACTAGGCAGTGGGAATACAAAGGAGAATGAAATGCTAATGCATCTTCCTACGACTTTTCTAGTATAAACTTGTCTTTTAATTGGGAGGTGTTATGCAAATATGCGGAAGATGATGAGAGTGTAATGATGCTCACACTTGCAATTCAGCTCAATTCTTGTGCAGCCCGGCTATGATTTCTGAAACTGAAGACTTGGTGTGAAAGGCTTTGATCACCATTGCACATCTCATACTTTGAGCCCCTCCAGGCTACAATGAGTGGGAAGAGGGGCTGGGAATTCATCTGATCATACAGGTCTTGGATGCTGGCCTGAACTTAAGAATCAGAATTGAGCTGGGTGCACTAGTGCACCCCTGTAATCCCAGACACTCAGGAGGCTGAGACAGGAGGTTCGCAAGTTCAAATCAGCCTTAGCAACTTGGCAAGGTCCTAAACAACTCAGTGAGACCATGTCTCTAAATAAAATACAAAAAAAGGCGCTGGGATGTGGCTCAGTGATGGAATGCCCCTGAGTATCACACATACGAACACACACACACACACACACAATCAGAATTGAGGCTGCTTTGTAAGTTAGTGTCTTAGTTTTCTCTCTGACTTCCTCTTCCTTTTGCTTCCATGGTGTTTGTTAGTAAGTACTTACCAACCATTCTGATGTTACTAAAAAAAAAAAAAAAGAACAAACAAAAAGCATTATTATGTCATTAGCAAGCTCTTTTCTGAAATCTCTCTCTTTGTGGTCTTGTGTCTCTTTTATAGGAAAATTCAAATTCTATATCTTGGTCTCATGATTGCATAGTCTGGTGCCATCTTACCTCATTTGTAGTTTCTCTAGAATAAGATCTTTATTAACCATTTTCTAAGTAAAATTTCTATGTGTTGTCAGAGCCCCTGTTTTTTCTATATTGTAGCTCCTAGGACATGCACTTAAATGTTGAACTCTAAAACGTGCTGATAAGATTGCTTCTTGTTAGAATTGTAATGTGCTCATTAATAATGATAACAATTATTATTATTATTATTATTATTATTGAAGAGAGATCAGAAGAATAAAGCAAGCAGATTAGGAAAAGAGAGGAAGTGAGGGGAAAGGAAGGTACTAGGGAATAATATTGATCAAATCATGTTTTATGTATATATATATCACATATATGGCATAATAAAGCACACCATTGTATAATTATAATGCACTGATTTAAGAAAAATGCTACTTGTTGATAGAGCATTCTTTTGTGAAAACCTCTGAATCTCAATCATTTCATGGGTATAATGGAGAAATGTTCTCAGTATTATTATGAGAATACATATATGTATATACAAAATGTTTACCAGACATTAGTCAATACATAATCACCAGCAGCATAACTATACATCCCCTAAAATTTCTATTTGTATTTCTTTGTCATAAAACTATGTGCCTTTTAGAGCAGAGACCATGTCAAGTTGCTTGATACTGAACCTAAACCCCTAAGATTATAGAAGGACAAGGAGTGCTCTCTACTTGCTTACTAAGGAATGGATGAGGTCTTCTGGTACCACAGCCAGCCCAAGGGTTCTCCCCTATCCAGGATGATGTGTTCATGGTCTTAGGCTGCTCTAATTAGCAGAGCAGAGGCATCCTTTGGGAGAGACGGAGCTCACTCTCCAGATGATATGCAGTGTGTGAACATTCCAAGCCTTGAGGTGTATTTGGCTGAGAGAGAGAGAGAGAGAGAGAGAGAGAGAGAGAGAGAGAGAAAGAGAAAGTCCTTGCATGGCGTAAACTGACAGTGACAGTGTTGCTGCATTGAATTGAGCAAGTCTGTCAAAAATGTGAAGACCAAAAACAGCAAAAGCAACAGCCCATAAGTAGGCACCTCAAATACTTTGGAGCGCCAGACTTATGGGCTTTTGCTGTCTCTGTGTATGGCTATTTTTTTTAACACCCACAATCTTTTCTTAGTAATTTCAAATCTGTTACCTGAACAACAATTTGTGTTTGTGTGTGTGTGTGTGTGTGTGTGTGTGTGTGTGTGAGAGAGAGAGAGAGAGAGAGAGAGAGAGAGAGAGGATGAAAGAATGAATACAGAAATGCAATATTCTCTACCAAAACTATTATTAGTCTAGAGATCTGGATTTTATCATGATGAGTTAAAAATGAGTTTCTGGTGAGGGCGGGAAGAGGATGCATACAATATTTACCAAGTAAAAAGTTTGTTTGGATTACTGTATGTATAATAGCTGTTTTTGAATAGTCTTTTTTTACTTCATTACAACAAGTATTTTTAAATGGTTATGTGGAATTGAACATGTTTTTGGAATTGAACATGTTTTGAAATCAAGATGGTTTTAGTTACTAAACTCTCAATGTGGCCCACTTCCTTGTTTTTTTTTTCTTTTTTTATCAGAGTCTAAGATCAATTGTGCAGGCTAAATGTCTTATCCTTATATTGCAGCCAAAAAATAAACTGAAATTCTAATAAATATGTATTTATTCATAAATGTATAAATAAGTTCATGTAGTTAGAACTGAGTCTCACTTTTGTCTTTTATTCTTCCCAAAATCTGTGCTTTTCTTCTTTCTCTTTAGTTATTTTTAATCACAAAGAAACATCAAAATCTTAGATTATAATACAATTTACTAATCAGAGGTTATTGGTAGTTAGAAAGAAAACATGGTACAAACAAGTAACAATAAAACAAATTTGAATGGCTTATTTGTTAATTAGCAAAAATTTGTGGACAAGAATGACACATTCCAATATCTCTTGTGTTCCAAAAATGGCTTGTATGTGAGTGGAAGCTTCCATGAATGATATATTATTCAAATTTCCTTTTTTTAATAAAAATGCTAATGGAAATGTTAAAATGCACATAAATTAAAATGATCATAAATTAGGATTAATATCACATTAATGAATTATAATCCCACATTCATTAAGATAAAGTGGCATTTCAATATTTGTTCTTGTTCATAAATTTAATACAATAAATGAAAGGGATACACTTTGAGATTCAATAAATATTTGATGTAATCTTATGCTTTAACTTTTTAAAATATTCAAAAGTAAAGTAGGAAATCGAGATGCATTTGGATTCTTTGTTGCTCTTTTATGTCTTTTTTATAACTCTTTCTTTTTACTTATTGAAGCACTAAATACAATTCAAATCGGTGAAGAAAGTGATAGAACCAGTTATGCATAAAAGGGATTCCTGGGAAAACTCAATGTCTTTTGAATTTCTAGGAGTTTCTTTTTTTTCCCACAAGACAGTATTTTTTAAGCTAATATTTGAAATTTCAAAAAAAGAAAGAAGAAAATAGAAATCTCAAGATACAATATTGAAACTGTATTGGCAGTTCAATAACTGAGTTAAATGAGAAATGTGTTTAAGCAACATTTTGAAGCTCTAATTCAATGAAATTAATTTTTTAAAAAATGCAACCCAAAAGTCATATATTTTCTTGCTTGATTTTAGTGTTTTTTAAATTTTTTTAAACAGGAGTCAAATGATATAAGAGAGAAACTACATATTATAATTTTCCTGTCTCTCTCTTGAAAGCAAACTGTAAGGATTTTAAAACCAGAGATTCTGTTTTTCCCCTATACTTACCTGCATCTATCTTAGGAAGAGTACTTGCCTGCTAACATAAACTCAATAAATATTTATCTAGTAAAAAAATTATGACATGAGGCTGGGGATGTGGCTCAAGCGGTAGCGCGCTCGCCTGGCATGCGTGCGGCCCGGGTTCGATCCTCAGTATCACATACAAACAAAGATGTTGTATCTACCGAAAACTAAATAAATAAATAGATATTAAAAATTCTCTCTCTCTCTTAAAAAAAAAATTATGACATGACCTGAGATGTATTTGGATTCCTGTTAAGTCTTTTCCCAAAGAATTCCAGTTTGGAAAATATACTCCCTTATTTGGGCCTCAGTGCTCTTCTCTATAAAACAGAAATGATTTTCCTATAAGAAAATCCTGTAAATTGTAAGAATTATTAAAGAAAACAAAGTCTAACAAAAGCCAGTAGTTTTTAATATAATTCAAGTTCTTAGAATTATTTGTGTTTATATAAATAGAGCAGACAAACGTGTGTCAAACTGACACTACCATGTTCGAATACATCAGTGTGATACTTGGATAGCTGATGACTTGCCCTGTTGTATGTCAGTGTTCTCTTATTTTATATGAAATATTAACTCAAGTTTTGTAAAATTTAGGAAATGATATTATGAAAAGTAATCCACATAGTTCTCATCACATCAATCATTTTATGATTCATAAAAAGTAGATAATAAAAATAACATTCAATGACTGTTCAAAAATTAAAAAAGAATACATACATTTTTGTACTTTCATCTGGACCTTTTTATCCCTCTGCATGTATTTGAATGTATATTAAACAGGTCAGATCACCTTAGAAAACCTTTTCTTACCTATTTAGATGAAGTTTGTTATGTTTTATTTCTGTATGATACCTTACAAGTGTATTGACTATTTGTACTGCCACCCTTAGCAAAAATTGATGAGGTTGCTTTTCAAAAGAACCAATTTGATAAACGAGCAGGAAATTAACTAAAAAGTGACTTGTAGATGGCTCCATTACTAACTTCACTTTTCATTTTTAGCTACACACAGACCTGGATCCTGGAAGCAAAAAAATCAAGTATATCCTCTCAGGTGATGGAGCTGGGACAATCTTTCAAATAAATGATGTTACTGGAGATATCCATGCCATAAAGAGACTTGACCGAGAGGAAAAGGCTGAGTACACCCTAACAGCTCAGGCAGTGGACTGGGAGACGAACAAACCTCTTGAGCCTCCTTCTGAATTTATTATTAAAGTTCAAGACATCAACGACAATGCACCTGAGTTTCTTAATGGACCCTATCATGCTACCGTGCCAGAAATGTCCATTCTGGGTATGTATGCATCCAATTTCACAGAACTATTAAGAGTCATCTTTAAAATAGCTCCTGGCATCAGGAATGGTGTGATGCTGAATAAAAGACATTTATTACCTTCTTATCTCTAATTTGCATTTCCAAATCCCCTTTTTTTTGGCCTAAGTTCCGCAGCTCAATAGCTTTAGTCCCTTAGTAATAGGAACTGACTGAGGAGCAGTTTTATTAAAATATCTCTCTTTACACGACAATATTTCAATAGGCTGAATTTGTATTCCTCTCATAGACTTGTAGTTGGAGTATTGTTACTGAGGCGGATTTATCAAGATTTGTTCCAACATGCCAAGCTAATCCTATTGATATTTGCTTCATGTTTAATTATTTGTTTGTGTTTATTCACATGCAGATGCAGTGCATAGAGAAATAGGAAACCTTCTAGGTCTGTAGTCAGCCAGATATTGACTTGAGCTGGTGGGTCGAGTCTACAGTGAATTAGGCAGTCACTGTTGCCAGTGAGACTTATTTTTTGTGGCCAGCTCTTAACAGAATGATTTTAGGAGCCATGACTACCACCAATGAAAAATCTCACATTTTCTGAGCCATGGATGGATTTATTACCTTTTGTACAGATGAGCATATATTTCAAAAGATAATTTTAAGCTTTTACATCCTAATTTGTATATGATTATTTATTCCCAAATTTCAGCCTTGATGCAGTAACCCTCAAAGCTCAGACTTGTACAATAAAAGGAGGGATATTTTTTAAATTAATTTTTTAAATTTATATGTGACAGTAGAATGCATTAAAATTCTTATTACACATATAGAGCACAATTTTTCACATCTCTGGTTGTATACAAAGTATATTCATACCAATTTGTGTCTTCATACATGTACTTTGAAGGGAGGGAGTTTTGAGCCTTCTTTGTCTAACAAAAATAGTAGACAGGAGGCAAAATCACCAAAGTCACTTTTTGTAATGCAATCTGTATCCAAGTTTGTTTCAAATTGTGTTTAAAGATGTATTATGGATTAGGTGGTAGGTGATCATGATTAGACATGATTTTTTTATTTAAAAATCCCAAGTAGAGAATAACTAAAGGCCAGAACTAGGTACATGCAGACATGTACGGTCATTATTTCAAATCCCTAATTTGGTATCAAATAAATCCTCAGAGAAAAACCTGATCAAGAACCATGTGCCCAGGTTCTATATAGTGAGGTAAAACTACCCAGGAAAACTATACACTTGCAGATATTAACACCTGGAAGAAATATATGATGAAGTATTCTCAACAGCATCTCTATTTTTATTATTTTTTTTCTTGGTACCAGGAATGGAACCTCATGAATGTTTAACTACTGAGCCACATCTCCAACCCTTTTTTATATTTGATTTAGAGATAAGATCTCACTGAGTTGTGTTCAGGGGCTTGTTGCTGAGGCTGGCTTTGAACTTTGCAGTCCTCCTGCCTCAGCCTCCTGAGCCACTGAGATTACAGGTGTGCACCACCATGCCTGGCCCTCAACAGCACTTTACTATAGATACAAATAAAGACAAAGTATTGATTGTGATATTCAAGAATAGATTTTGGTGCCCATTATCATGTATAAAAAAGAATTTATTTACCTTCTCAATGTAGTCTCAACATTTTAAGATATTTTAGCAATTCAGTGTGATGTTACCACGCCTTTTATCTGCTCTATACATCATTCCCTTATTTTGTCACTTAATGCTTAGGATTACTTTGTTCCTCTACTTCCTTCTTCTTTTTTTTTCTTTTTTATGTAATTTTTTATTTATATATGACAGCAGAATGCATTACAATTCTTATTATACATATAGAGCACAATTTTTCATCTCTGGTTGTTTACATAGTATATTCACACCAATTCGTGCCTTCAAACATGTACTTTGGATAGTAATGATCATCACATTCCACCATCATTAATTACCCCATGCTCCCTCCCTTTCCCTCCCACCCCTTTGCCCTATCTAGAGTTTATCTATTCCTCCCATGCTCCTGCTCCCTATCCCACTATGAATCAGCCTCCTTATATTAAAGAAAACATTCGGCATTTTTTTTTGGGGGGGGGATTGTCTAACTTCATTTAACATTATTTTCTCCAACACCACCCACTTACCTGCAAATGCCATGATTTTATTCTCTTTTATTGCTGAGTAATATTACATTGTATATAAATGCCACTTTTTAAATCCATTCATCTCTTGAAGGGCGTCTAGGTTGGTTCCACAATTTAGCTATTGTGCTGCTATAAATATTGATGTGGCTGTGTCCCTGTAGTATGCTGTTTTTAAGTCCTTTGGGTGTAGACTGAGGAGAGGAACAGCTGAGTCAAATGGTGGTTCCAGTTCCTTCTTTTTATTCCTTTCTCTCTCCTTTTTCCTCTTCTCTTTCTCCCTGTCTGCCTCCAGTTTCTTTTCCTTTTCCCTCCCTTCCTCTCTCCTTTCCTCCATTATTTCCCTTGTTTAGTTCAAGTCTTTGGCTATTTGTTCCATCTGAATGGTTTTAAAATCATATTCCCTGCCCCGTCTGCCTTCTTAGGCCAGGAACCCTGTTATCAGTTGCTTCCTGAACATTTTCACCTGAAGGTCCCAAGGACAGCTTGAACTCCATATTAAAAATCAAACCCTATTACTTCTTTTTATGAAATTATTTTTTGTGCTTCCTAATTCCTCTGACTTTATCACTGATTCCAATATACTACAAAATCCCCTGTACAAAAGGTACAAAATGCTGAATCTTCTCTCCCCCTTTGAGCCTCAGCCTCACCTCATCTATCGAATCACTAATCTACTCCTTCCTGGCTGCTGTGCAATCTGAGCACATCATCTCATTTCACTCTTATGATCGTCTTTCTAGATCAGACTGCAATGCCTTCCCCTGGATCATCTCAGTAACCTACCAAAGAGTATGCTTGATTCTGAATTGGTTCCTTCTTCAGTAATCTATGTATTTATGCTGGAAAATAAACAAAAACTCCCTTACATTCTGTTGTGTTTGTTTTCATAGAAAAATAATTCTCAGGCTCCTTAGCCAGAAGGACTTTGGATGGCTTTGTTTCATTTAATCTCTTTCTTCTTACCTATCGACAATATAATGTTGGTAACCATTGTATACCCATTGATATATAACCATTGCAACAGCAAATAAGAAGTGATTTCAGGTCTTCGTATTTTACCCATATATTTCTCCTTCCAAGACTCTACTTTATCTATCTCTTGTGCAAAGAATTCTATTTTTATTTATTTTTCATCTCCTCAAAATTGAGTTGTTTCTCTATGGCAAGCTGATTTTTAGGGAAACTTTATAACTTCCTAGCAAGACTTTATCCCTCCACCATCAGCACCATCACAAAAAAAGACACACACACACACACACACACACACACACACACACACACACACCCCAGAACAAAAATTTCCATCTTCACAACTCCTTTTGTATTCTGACATGGCAAAAAGGAGCTGAGAAACATTATGTAACATTTCTTTTTGTCTTTTTGTTTTGGTCTATTCATTTAGGTCAGGGAACTTGCCTAAGTCCTCTTCTTATTGAGATTTCAATAAAAGTGTTTTAAAAAATTACTGGCACCTCCAATGCATACAGCACACATTACCTTTTTTAAAAATTCTTTTTTTTTTTTTTTTTTGGTGCTGGGGATTGAACTCACAACCTCATGCAACCTAGGCAAGTACTCTACCACTGAACTACAGCCTCTAGCCCCAACACACTTTATATTAATTACTGGTAAATGGTGAACAGGCAAGCTGTTATTTTTACTTCATTACTATGATTTCTCCATCTTAATGCCAACTCTGTTGGCTATGAATGTGCCAGAGGCTGTCTTTTCTGTGCATCTAAGTCATGTTCCTGATAGATTTGTTGAGACAGAAAATCTCAGAAACTTCCACAAACACTAATACTATTTTTAGCTAAGAAAAGGTCTTTAAAGATATTATTAGCTACAGAATGCAATGTGTATACACACACACATGCTTTAAATGCTTTGTCTTCAACATGTCTTCCAAAACCTATATAGAATCCATTTAAGTTGCAAAAAAAGAATTTGAATCCTGATTCCTTCCCTGATTATCCGGTTGACTTTGAGATCAGGAAGGTGAAAGTACTGCCTATTTTCCTTAGCTGTAATGCAAGGACAATAATTTCTATCTCGCTTTCACTGTGTAAGGATTGCATGATAAAACACAAGGTGAAGGAATGCCATAAAGTAAATAAGTGTTCCATAATTGGTTGTTGTTATGGCTTTTAAAATTATTTTTATTAATCTGTTCCCCATCTTACCTTCGTACCTTCCCTTATGTATTGATTTTAAGCCCTGGGTGTCTGGTTTCTCTTTGACTCCAGCCTCTCTGGTTAAAGGGAGCAGAGGCAGCTGCACTATTTTATTGTCAAGTGTGAATTACTCCCTTCATTTCTCATCAAGGTGAATATCATGATGAAGGTCAACTACTATCTCCTTCCTCTCCCCATCACCACTGTTCTCTCTCATCCTGTTTTTTCCCTCCCCTCTTTCCTTCTTTCATTTTTCTTCCTTTGCTACTGCAGAAATGCCAGCACCTGCACCTGTATGCCCTGAGGAATGCCAGCCAGGACTGAGGGAATTCATTGTGCAGAAAGTGAAAAATAAAATTCTAATTGAGAAATTTACCAATATTAAATTGAAATGAATATGATGTTCAAGAACTGTCTTCTAGTTGACAAGCTGTCAAGACAAAACACACATATACATTTGCCCAAATGGCAGCCAAATTAATTTAGAAATATCTTATTTGGAAGCAGGAGACATGGTTCTTTTATATTCTACTGTGAATTTCAGAAGTTGATGAGAATTCACTTTTACAGCAATACTGCATAAAGAAAGACATGTGAGCTTGTCTGATTGTAACTGTGGATACCAAACTAGCAATGTTAAAGTTGGTTTTTCAGTGGAAATTTGCCCACACTTATTGTTTCAAACAGTTTATGTATTTT